GGGAAAGATTGAAGGCAGGAGAAGGGGATGACCAAGGATTAAGACGGTTGGATGGCATCAAACTCAATGGACATGAATTTGATAACCTCAAGCAGATAGTGAAGGACAGGGAAGCCTGGCATGCTGCCGTCCATAGGGTCGCAGAGTCGGACACGACTGAGCGACCAAACTGATCCTCCTTTCCCCAAATTGCTTTCTAATCCTGTGGTGGATCTTGGACTCCCTCTGCTGGCCAGACAGCATCAACAGAAGGCTGTGTGGTGGTGGGTTAGTCGCTAAGTCTTATTGGACTCTTAAAACCCTACGGACTGTAATCCACCAGGCTCCCCTATCCATGGGATTCTCCAGGCAAGAACACCAGAGTGGGTGGCCACTCCCTTCTCCAGGGGATCTTCCCAACCCAGGAACCGAACCCAGGTTTCCTACACTGTAGGCAGGTTCTTTATCGACTGAGTTAAGAGGAAAGATACAACAGAAGACTGAATTGAGAATAAATCTAGAAAATTAGAGCACAGCCACCCTCCACAGCAGTCCCTCATTCATTCAATCAAAAGACACTGAATGAATGCCTACTATGTATTAGACATGATCCTTGGTGCTGGAAATACAAAATAAGATACAATCTCAGTCCTTAAACTTGTCCTATACTTTTCTCCAGGAAATTATCGAGTCCCAGAAGATTTTATGAGCCTGGGACTCAAGAAAAAAGTCTGCTCTGCCTTGACAGGATGACTGGTATGTATTTATGCTGGACTATGAAAATAACATGTTTCTGTGAAAATCAGGGACACCTTTCTACAATACCCTCTGAAGTGAAGTGTTAGTCGCTCAGTAGTGTCCAACTCTTTGAGAGCATATGGACTGTAGTCTACCAGATTCCTCTGTCCATGGGATTCTCTGGGCAAGAATAGTAGAGTGAGTTGCCATTTCCTTCTCCAGGGGATCTTCCCAATCCAGGAACTGACCCCAGGTCTCCAGGATTATAGACAGATTCTTTACCAGCTGAGCCACCAGGGGAGCTCTGGAAGATACTAAAATATTTAAGCTTCAGATTGCCCGAAACTAAGACAGTTGACATAAAGGAAGAGATCTAGACATTAAAAGATAAAAGTAACCCAAAACCATGAGAAGTTTGGGATTAAAATGTGGTCGGCTGCCCTAAGAAAAATCAGATATGTGCTTGATTCTTTCCTAACACTGGACATGATTTAAAGATTTACATTGCTGCAAGGCTGTGAAACTTCACAAAACAAAAATTCCAGAGATGCTCATTCTTACCCCCTCCATTACATGACCAGCAGCTACGTGTTTGATATGAAAGGCAGGCATGATATCACAGGAATGACATTTGTGAAATGAATATTCCCTACAACTGATGTTTTAACCACAAATGGCCATGGTGACAGCTGGAATTTGAACTCTGCTTAAACGTCTCCTAGTAAACTGATTCCCTGATGGCTCAGATGGTAAAGAATCTGCCTGCAATGCAGGAAACCTGGGTTCAATCCTTGGGTCAAGAAGATCCCCTGGAAAAGGGAATGGCAACCTACTCCAGTATTACTGCATGGAGAATTCCATGTGCAGAGGAGCCTGGAGGGCTATAGTCCATGGCATCACAAAGAGCTGGACACGACTGAGCAACTAACTTTTATTTTCACAATAAGTTGATACAACTTGCAAACTCACTGTCTTTTTATCAAGAATTCTGATTCTTTTGAGTTATGATAGTATAAAAATTATAGAAACATGAAAAACTACAGAGGTGTAAATTTTAGAGTAAGTTAAGACATCAGAACATTCCAATAACTTCTCAAGACTTTCTGAATAAAATCTGTAGCCTTTGGTTTAAAAGTCTCTACTAATTGGCTCTATCCAACAGAAGGCCTCCACACTCTCCTTCAAATCACTATAATGCATTAGTTTTGCAGTAACTTAACTTAGCCTAAGCCTTTTTTATTGCTGTATATTGCAACCCTATGAACTGTACCCACCATGCTCTCTGTCCATGGGATTTTCCAGGCAAGAATACTGGAGTGGGTTGCCATTGCCTTCTCCAGGGGATCTTCCCAACCCAGGGATCGAACCTACATCTCCTGCATCTCCAGCATTGCAGGCAGATTCTTTACTGTTGAGCCACAGAGGAAGTGGTATAGTAATGGGACTTTGAAATGGAGACGGAACAATCTTTTACTGGTATTTTGGCAGCTTTTGCAGGCATAAAAATTCACAACGATTGAAGCTGCTATTGATATACAGTGAAAAAGGTCAGTGCAATATATGGGAAATATCCAAACAAGAAAAATTTGATTCACATCCTGCATGCCTTTCAAATGTTCACCATATTTTCATGGAGGCAATTAAAACAATTTGCTTATCCAAGCCTAGGATCCAGCTCTTTTTGTATATTAATGAAAAAATTGAAAGTGTTAGCTGTTCAGACCTGTCCAGCTCTTTGCGACTGCATGGACTATAGCCCACCAGGCTCCTCTGCCCATGGAATTCTCCAGGCAAGAATACTGGAGTGGGTTGCCATGCCCTTCTGCAGGGGATCTTCCCAACTCAAGGATCAAAAGCACATGTCCTGCATTGCAGGTGAATTCTTTACCATCGGAATCACCAGAGAAGCCCTTGTATGTTAATACATACAGAATATGTTAGGCTTTCCACCTTCCTTTTCATTACAGAAAGAGTATACTGTGCTTTTGCTCAAACTTTTCCAAGAGTTGTTAACCATTGGGAAAAATCAAGTTCCTAAGGGCAAGCACCATTCCTGGCCTTTGAGCTAATGGCCCACACTTGTACCATCTGCATTTGTAGTTGATACTTGCCAGTATTTTAAAGTGAAGATTTGAGATACCATTAATGTTAATTGAAATACAAGAAATACACAGACACCACCACATTTTATTAGTAACTCTATTATTCAAATGGGCATAACAAATTCTTATTATGTATATTATGAAAATTAAAACTTGAAATTTCTTTAAATTGCTAATCTATGCCTCCACATGTGGTTTTAAGACAGAATTTGTGTATTGAACTATTCTGTCTTTTCTCTGTCCCATGCAATGCAGGGAATTATTTTGACACACACTTGTAAATAAGGAAAGTGAAAGTGTTAGTCCCTCAGTCGTGTCCAACTCTTTGTGACCCCATGGACTGTAGCCCGCCAGGTTCCTCTGTCCATTGGATTCTCCAGGCAAGAATATTGGACTGGGTTCCCATACCTTTCTCCAAGGAATCTTCCCAACCCAGGATTGGAACCTGGGTCCACTGCATCGCAGTCAGATTCTTTACCATCTGAACTACCGTCCTTCTTTTCAACATTATTCCCCAGAGATCTGCCACAAAACTTTGCTATTATCCCCTGAATTGCTCTTTCTTTTTTCAATAGGTCTCCAATTTCCTGTTGACTATCAAAGCATATGGTCTCTGTGGTCCCTTAGTAAATTCAAGACCGAATGTATGCCTCCATATTCGGTTTTAAGACAGACTTTGTTTATTGAATTATTCTGTCTCACCTCTGTCCTATGCAGCACAGGGAATTATTTGACACACACTTGTAAATAAGGTACAGCTCATTTGCAAGAAAATCATACTTCCTCATTTTCTCACTTCAACAATCTGTAATTTGTCTTGACTTGTTTTCCCTACTGCAATTAAGGTTACTTCCCTCTTTCTCTTATCATATATAGGCGGGTCCAGTCTGTCATCACTTATCCTAAAACTAGTTTTTATTCTAGTGTCTACTGTACCTCTGCTCTTTCATTTTCCTCTACATCTTGCTCAGCATGGCTTTTAATTTTGTTTCTTCTAAATTCATCATCATGACGAGTAGGTACAAACATCTGACTACTTCATTTTGGCTTATTCTGTAGTCATACTCAAGCGTTATATATTGAAATGCACACTGCTTATTATACTTTTCCTTCTCCTTTAAATTACAGTGTAAGGATATTATATGTATGAATACTTAATGTGATTTAGTCTTTAAACTATGTGTGCATGCAGGTTACAGAAAGAATTTAATTTCAGGAAATGAAATATTTATTTAAGAAGAGGCCTTCAGGTCTGAGGAGGATAAAAAATGGACACTATTTGCCAACTCCACCCTCAGACACCTTGTTCCTCCTCTCTGCCCTGTGGCTCTATCTGTTTTGCAAGGCTCATTCAGGGAGTTTTGCAACTAGATTCTTTTTTATATATGTTTATTTATTTGGCTGCACTGGGTCTTAGTTGCAGCACTCGGGATCTTTGATCTTCATTGCAGCATGCGGAACATTTGGTTGAGCCATGTGGGACTTAGTTCCCTGATCAGGAATCGAACCCAGGCCCCTTGCACTGGGAGCTTGGATTCTTAGCCACTGGACCAACAGGGAAGTCCCATAATTAGATTTTTGAAACTGCTCCTGTCTCTGAAGGCCTCTTCTGTGTTGGGTGGCTCTTATTTATTTACTATAAGTAGTTGAAATTTAATCTCCAACTGCCTAGAACTACCACTCTAATCTTAAATGTGTGTGCATTATTGCCTCACCAAATGGAATGCAAGCTTGTAGAAAACAAAATCATTTACCAGACTATATCCTCTAACACTAAACTTTGCACAAAGTTAAAATTCAGTAAATTCTGGCTGAGTCAATAAACCAACTTCTAAATGTTATTTGATAGCATAGTTCTCAGCACATCTCACTTGTCAGACCAAACTTTTAATTAGTTATTTATATGTCTGACTCTCTCACAATTGTTGGAGAGGAAAGGGACTATGATTACTCACCCTTGTAACCTCAGAATCAGAATCCACTGACTAGTTCATAGAAGTTACCCTGTGAGTGTTTATGAATGACCAGATGGATGCATGTAATTAAATTCATGAGGAGGATTCTGATGTAACTATAGATTAACTAGAAGAAATTTAATAGGAATGAGTGTAATTAAAGTCACTACAACAGAGAAAATCCTGGAATGGAGGTCCCAGAATTCTATCTTCACATTGACATTACCATTTTGCAGTGAGTTCTGGTGTCATTTTCAGTTCTTTTTCCTGCAGAAGTTTTCTTACAAGGTAATTATTAAAAGAGATCTGAAAGAAAATAGAGGTTAAAAAAAAGATGAAGCCCATCTCAATGTTAGAAAGCCTTTATCCCCCTTGAAAAGTAGGAGGAATTCTGTAGACTTCTTGTAAGACTAAATTTCATAGACTTGGAAATAATTCTAAATGTCTAACCAAGTTTATTTTAGTTCACTTTACCACACATCCATTACCACAGAATCAGCATGCCCTATATTTTAAATGTATGGAATGTATCATTCTGTTTTCATAATAAAAGAATTCACATTCATTGTAGAAATTTTGAAAAGACCGATATTTTCAAAATTTAAATCGTCCATTTTCCTAACAAAAATGATCAGTCTTTCTGTGTATTTCCTTTCAGTCTTTTCCCTATGTATCTATGTGTCTACAGTTCGACAGAATTAAGATCATAGCATATTAAAAAGCAGAGACATTACCATGCCAACAAAGGTCCGTCTGGTCAAGGCTATGGTTTTTCCAGTGGTCATGTATGGATGTGAGAGTTGGGCTGTGAAGAAAGCTGAGCACTGAAAAATTGATGCTTTTGAACTGTGGTGTTGGAGAAGACTCTTGAGAGTCCCTTGGACTGCAAGGAGATCCAACCAGTCCACCCTAAAGCAGATCAGTCCTGGGTGTTCATTAGAAGGACTGATGCTGAAGATGAAACTCCAGTACTTTGGCCACTTCATGTGAAGAGCTGACTCATTGGAAAAGACCCTGACGCTGGGAGCAGAGCAGAGCTCTGCTGCTTGTTATAAATTAATGTTTTAAAGTCTGGTTTTAACTTTAATATTGCCATTGAGTCAAGAAACTTACACTAAATAGGCCGAGAAAGGTATCTGACAGTCATAACCCCTTCTGGGAGTTTCAAAATGCCTGCCAAACCCACATCTCCTTCTAGAAATTTCCTTAATCATGCTTTACAACTTTTACTCTACCTCCCTGGATTCAACTGATTAGGTAAGGGACGGGTACTTTTACTGGCCAATAGTCTATGAGATGCCCTGACTCAAAGTTCCGCCCAGTTCAGATCTCCTATATGGAATGATGACTAGTTAAATCAGTCAGGTCCTTTCTCTTAGGAAATTTAAACTGGAGACATAGGAAGAGGCAATTAGTGAATCTAGTTAGCTGGCTCCTACAAAGCAGCACAGAGAACAGTTGTGTCTCTGTAAGAAGTCACAGCTAACAGAAGAGAAAGCTGCAGTGCCTGCTGAGTTATGAAGCTGCTGACAGACACCAGAGGAATTACAAGATGTCGGATGACATCCCATCTCCAAGAGGCCTGAAAATGCATCTGTTCCTATTTTGCTTCCATGTATAAAGAAGCGTAATTTGTTCTTACAACTTAGAGCAAGCCGCATTACATTGTAAGCTTAACAAGAGAGTGGAAAGTCAATTTAGCCAAAGTTACCCTGCATGTGGTGAAAAGTACTTAAGATTTAGAGCAGGCATCAATAGCCAAAATACCTTCCCAAGCAAGACAGGTAACATACATGAGTGAAACCAGACGTGCCTTCCCTGTTAAAGGAAACAACTGCACTTTAACAATTGGTCATGGTTACCACTCAGAAAGACAGTTTGCTAGAACTTAAGTTTTAAATGGCATAATGCATGTTAAGTGTTTACTGTATGCACAGAATATTAATATTCATTATTATTGTTGTATCATTTATAATAATTGTTAGCAGTTATTTATAAGATACATATATATGACATATTTATAGAATATATATATCTATAGGCTGTATACTGTCACCCTGCTTATTTAACTTATATGCAGAGTATACCACATGAAATGCCAGGCTGGATGAATCACAAGTGGGAATCAAGACTGCTGGAAGAAATATAAATAAGCTCAGATATATAGACGATACCACTCTAATGGCAGAAAGCAAAGAGGAACTAAAGAGCCTCTTGAAAGGGTGAAAGAGGAGAGTAAAAAAGCTGGTTTGAAACTCAACATTTAAAAAACCAAGATTGTGACATCTGGTCCCATCACATCATGGCAAATAGATGGGGAAAAACTGGAAACAGTAACATACTTTATTTTATTGGGCTTCAACATCACTGTGGATGGTGACTGCAGCCATGAAATTAAAATACACTTGCTCCTTGGAAAGAAAGCTATGACAAACCTAGACAGCATTTTAAAAAGCAGAGATACCAGTTTGCTGACAAAGGTCCATATGATCAAAGCTGTGGTTGTTACAGTAGTCATGTATGGATGTGAGAATTGAACCATAAGGAAGACTAAGTGCCAAAGAATTGATGTTTTTGAGCTGTGGTGTTAGAGAAGACTCTTGAGAGTCCTTTGGACAGCCAGGAGACCAAACCAGTCAATCCTAAAGGAAGTCAATCCTGAATACTCATTGGAAGGACTGATACTGAAGCTGAAACTCCAGTACTTTGACCACCTGATGGGAAGAGTTGACTCACTGGAAGAGACCTTGATGCTAGGAAAGATTGAGAGCAGAAGGAAAAAGTGGTTGCAGAGGATGAGATGGTTGGATAGCATCAAACTGACTGGACATGAGTTTGAGCAAACTCCAGGAGACAGTGAAGGACAGGAAAGCCTGGCGTGATGCAGTCCATAGGGTTGCAGGGTCAGACACAACTTAGCAACTGAACAACAATCTATAGGAGTCATCTGAAGAAATGAAACTGCTTGGAAAATTTACATTTTCTAATTATTTAATATATAGTTATATTTAAAATTTTTTATCATATTCTTTAAAATGCTTCTCCAGTTTTTAATTGGTCTCTTAAATGAATCATGAAAACCCTAAAATTTAAAGTATGCTGACTGTACTGGTTTACTTTCTGTTGATTCATTTCTTTGGTTTTTGGAGGAAATACAGTCTACCATTTCTTGTTTTTTCTAGCCTATATTTTCCCTGGTAATTACCTCCATAGACACCTTTCAGACATTACCTATCAGGCAGAAATGTGGATTGAAAATAATGTGATTTTTTTCCCAAATGGTTTTAGGCCTTTAATCAGAGACTGCCAGTTCTGTCCAGATCTTCCAAAATAAATCCATAAATTTTTCTTGCCTTTGAATACAAGTGATGAAATTTAGCCTAGAAATGAGCTAGGCTCATAGTATCTCAAAAGGAGATACCATCTAAAAAAGTAGCAAGGTGACACAACATAGACACTTTGCAGAACACTCACACCATAACTTACAACTCTGGGCTTTAGGTAGGAATTTCTTTGTTTTGGATTTTTTTTTTAATGTGCAAGATCCCATAACTAAAATTAAAGTAATTGAGTTGAATGTGTCTAGGCTTCCTTCTGTTTTAACAACTATTATGAATTAATATTATGAAATAATATTATTAATTAATAGACAACATAGTCAAAGCACTTCAAAGTCTCAAAGTAAATAATGTTGATTAATATAATCCATCCAGATTTAGTTTCCTACTGAAGGTCAGTGTGACGTAAACAGCATGCATGTAAATAGCTCACACAACTGAGTATCAAAATAACAAATAACTCAATCAAAAAAGAGCCAGAAGACCTGGAATAAGAAGACATACAAATGGCTAACAGGCACACAAAAATATACTCAACATCTCTAATTATCAGAGAAATGCAAATCAAAACAACAATAAGATATCACCTCATACCTGTCAGAATAGCCATCATCAAAAATTCTTATAAATAACAAAGGTTGGAGAGGATCTGAAAAAAGGGTAACCTTTATACATTTTTGGTAAGGATATAAATTAGTACAACCACTATGTAAAACAGTATGGAAGTTCCTCAAAAAACTAAAAATAGAGCTATTATATGATCCAACAATTCCACTGCTGGATATATATCTGGAAAAAAATGAAAAACACTACTTTGAAAAGATACATGCACCCCAATGTTCATAGAAGTACTATTTACAACAGACAAATAGATAAAATATAGCGTGTGCACATGTGCGTGCGTGTGCATGCGTGCGTGTGTGCGTGCGTGTGTGTGCGTGCACGTGCACACGTGTGTGCGTGCGTGCTTGTGCGCGTGTGTTTGCATGTGTGCGCACGCACGTTTGTGTGTGTGTGTGTGTATGTATAGTGGAATGAGTTTCTCAGGTGGTGCTAGTGGTAAAGAACCCACCTGCCAATGCAGCAGACATAAGAGACGTGGGTTCAATCCCTGGGTGGGGAAGACCCCTTGGAGGAGGGCATAGCAACCCACTCCAGTATGCTTGCCTAGAGAATTCCATGGACAGAGGAGCTTGGCGAACTGCAGTCCCTGGAGTCGCAAAATGTCAGACATGACTGAAGTGACTTAGCACACATGCATGCATAGAGTGGAATATTTCTCAGCCATAAAAAAATAAGATTCTGCCATCTGCAGCAATGTGGATGGGCCTAGAGAATGTTATGATAAGTGAAATTAGTCAGAGAAGGACAAATACTGTAGGATATCACTTTTATGTAGAATCTAAAAAAATAATAGAAATGAATGTATACACAAAGCAGAAACAGACTCACAGACATAGAAGACAAGCTAGTGGTTACCAAAGGGGGAAGGGAAAGGCAGGGCAGATTAAGAGTATGGGATTAAGAGATACAAACTACTACACATAAAATAGATAAACAAGGATATAGTGTACAGAACAAAGTATAACCATTAGCTTGTAAGAACTTTTAATGGAGCATAATCTATAAAAATACTGAATAACAATACTGAATACCTAAAACTAATACAATATCATAAATCAAACATACAAACTAAAAAAAAAAAAAAAACAGAAAAAACAGCATGTACAGATTCTGGAATCATACTGATCTGTATTCAAATGTAATATGCTTATCAGATCTATATCTTTGACAAGCTCCTTAACCTCTCAAAGCCTGTGTTATCATCTCTAAAGATGGGGATAATAAGGCTTACTTGATAAAGCTGGTATGAGGATTCCATGAAACAACATAGAAAAAGAGTCTGTCCGCTGTCTATTATTTAGAAGATATTTAATAAATGTTACTTTCTTTTCTCTATCTTATCTT